TTAGTGAATAGATGATCGCTATAGGATAGATATTTGAAAGTTTTATATTAGTCTAAAACAATTTATAATAAAATCTCATAATATTGTTACAGAAGGTTTCAAGAAGATAGATTAGCTATATTCAGTATTGAATATGTAGCAAAAGAATAAAATTAAAAATTAAAATTATTTGTTTGTCTGTGAGTTTCATCTTAACCATCAATTGAGTTGCTATTCTAATTTCTAATTTCATTGAAAACCTGTTATAAAATAAATTGTTTATTATTTTTAAGAAAAACCCAAATTCTAAGGTAATGAATTGATATCTTAGGATCAGTAGATATGAGTATAGTGAATTATTATTAAATTGAAATTGAACTGGTGTTATAATAGGTATTGAAGAAAGGAGAACAGACTTATCCCAGTTGATTTGGATAGAATCCAAACTATAAAAACTATTTGCAATATTTAAAATATCATTAAGATCATCTTTATTATTGCCTATCTACAGAGTATCATCCATATAAGCGAGTGTAAGAATATACATCAATCAATGATGTAGTATTATTTAATAAATTGGGTTTATATGTAACTTTAGATTAGTATTCTAGTAAAGAATTTTGAATTCTATATAGTAATAGATCATAATATATACTCTATAAAATTAGTGATATATTTTTTCCTTAATTAATATCTAAAAGAACTGAAAAAATAAAGGTATTACCAATATATATAAGTAAGATTCTAATGATCAGGTATAATATAAATTCACAAATGTGTATTCAAAATACTTTTTCATCTTAAGACCTAGATTGTTTAATATTTTATTTGAGATTTTAGAGGAATCAGGTACTTTATTAACGAAAAAGCTAAAATAATATTATATCATTCCGCTTTTGTTAGAAAGTTCATAAAATTATTATAGATATTAGTATTAATATCTTCTATAGAAGAATATCAAGTACTCCAATTTTTAGGAAGGTTCACATTATGGTGACAAGAGCCAATAATTTATTGAAAATATTGAGTAGTTTCTTATTTGATATCATATTCAAAAGTGAGTAAATTTAGATCTTATTTTGAATTATCTAAGTATCAGTATAACATGATAACTTTCTTTCTCTATGAAGAATTGAATCAATTATTTTTGTTTGATTATGTTGAAAATTATCTCAATGCTGTTCAAGTATAATTCTGATGGATTTTAATTCTTCTGATTTGGTTATAACTGATAAAGTTGAAATAAGTGTTATAGTGAAAATTATTGATTGTATTGCTAAAAATGTTGAAATAGAAATTAGCAAAAAGTCAATATCTAAAGCTAATGCAAATTTGGTTGTTTTATGATAAATAATAGACCAATATGTTAGAATTTTGTTAGATCTAACTGCTCTTTTTAAGAGTTTTTCGAGTTTTTGAGCTATTTTTAATTGTTAATATATTTTCTTTAGAAATTTGGGTCTAAGATCATATGTGTGCTGTGACAATTAATAGATAGAAATACATTTTTTGACAGCCTTTATGATACATCTTTAAATCAAATCCCTGTAAAAATTAAAAGCTTATTTTATTTTAATTTGTAATTTTTTAAAGTTGCTAGTTAATAAGAATTAAGAAAAGCATCTGTTTTATGAGGAAAGGTAGTCCAATCAAATTGTCATATTATAAAGAAACTTTTTTAATTAAGTTTTTGATGATGAGAATATTATTTCTGAGATGATGAAGGAGACTATTGCTATCACATAATCAAATAAATTATAATTAATATCTATTATTATTGCTACCTGAAGATCAGTCACTAAATCTGATAAGCAGAAGATATGATCTATTCTTGATGACATATGACATACAGCATTATTAAACGTGGGAATCTTGTGTTAACATTATTATACAAAAGATTACATGTATTGAAAATGTTTGCATTGTATAATTGGTCAAAAATCTATTGGAGAGAAAAAAATTATTAACTCTATTAGGTATTATATTAAAATCATCTAATAAAATAGTCTCTATATTGTCCACCTGAACTTGGTTAAGTAATTTAATAACTTTGTAAAAGTATTATAATGTCTGAGTTGAAAATATAGCAATTAATAATTCAGAATCAATATTTATTATGAAATTAAAGATTGATGCATATATAATGTTCAAAGCTACTCTAGCTGGAATATACATGATCAGTGAAATATTTTTTTATGATGATTCTATACCAAAGCCAGATTTTTGTATAGATTGATTGATATTGAGAAAAATCTGATAAGAAGGATTGAGAATATAAGACAAAGATTTGTTGTTTGATGTAATAAGATCTGTTTCTTGAATACTAATAATATCTAAATAATAAAGAAGATAAAGTTAAACTAAAATTGTTGTTTGAATTGTTGAGTAAAAGAACAAATATTAGTATAGCTATTTTCAAAATTTGATAATTATTAAAACTATTTAAAGGGGGATTAGAATTTAATTCTTTATTTATATTAGTTATATTACTATTAATTAAAGTTGTTTTGTTGGTGGTGGATCTTCATAATTTTTGTCATAATAATAAGAAAGGAGTGCAAGTTTCACAAGTTTCAAAATAAGGATTAGTCTATCTTAAAGCATCATCACATGGTAGATGAGCATTCTTTGCATTTGGGCTACTATAGCAAGGCATTATTAAGTTTATTGAAGTTGTCGCCCAAGTTCTATTTGAGAATAGTGTTTTCTGGTTATAATTTAGTAACTTGTGATTCTTGTTGTTAAACAATAGATTTAGAAATATCAATACATGTAATAACAACTTTATTCTGTTCATAATCTTTATCTATTTCATCAGTTGGGTCTTTGAAAGAATTAGAGTTAATAATTTTAGCTTGTTCAGGTGAAATAGAAGTAATGCATCTATAGTATTAACTCTGGTAAGAAAAAAACCTAGACTATTGTAAAAATTAGCAAGCTGTTTAGAAACATTATTGAGTTGCATTAAAATGGCATCAAATTGTGATAGTTGATATTTATTTGATAAAAATGAGCGATATCTTCCTCTATGGTCAGAAAACTTTCAAGGCCAAAAAAATTTACACGTTATAGGGATAGATAAGATTTCTAAAAAGCCTACTAATACAGATGAATGCTAAAAAGTGATCAGCATTACGAAAAGTAACGGTACTAAAAATTCTGATCCATTGCTTTACTTCAAATATCTGGCGACTGAAGTAGAGATAAGTATACCAATCACATCTCAAGTAAGTGTACCATCCATATTTTCATCTGACCAAGCAAGATCATCTAACAAATTCAGACTTTTAACTTATAATTTTACCTGATGTTCTAGAAGAGAAATCCATTGTTAACAAAGTGCTAGAGCGGTTTCATTATTTATCTTTGAGAATTATGGTGATAATTTTGTGTTTAATAGTTTGGTACCTTGTTCTATATGTAATAAAGATCATAAATGTGAAAACATAAAGAATAGTATAGATGGTCGATGGCTATGGTGAGTATTTGAAAAATGAACTTATCGTCTTGAATGCTTGGAGGCTTTATATCATAATGGTGTTTCAATAATATTGGTAAAAACAGAGCGAGGCAGAAAATTTCATCATGTGAAATCGATCACCTGAAATGCGTAGTATGATATTAGAAGCGATGCATAAATGTCATATGCATATATATTCGCATTATTTTAATCTAACAAAATCTTCCTACTGAAGCATTCTAATTTCTTTCAAAATCTTACTCAAAATATACGAATAGACCCATCTTTTTGAAGTCAGAATAATGAAAAATGTTTTTAGTAAAAATTGTTTTTGTAAAATTATGGCATTTTTTTATTTTTTTTTCTAAGCAATATGAAGAAAAAAGGTGGTTATATAGGATGGGATGGGATGGGTTGTGGTAGAATAGAAGCGAATAGAATAGACTATTAATATGAATCACAGGCAAAGTCTCAAGCTTTTGTATTCTATATTAATAAAGTGAGTTTTTCATTTGGCAATAATATTGAATAATTCCTATTATGTATAAAGTATTGTTAATTATGACATCCAAGCTTGAGAGCAGAATCGAGGAGTTAGAGAAGGTTAGAAAAGATACTGATGCCGAAAATATTAAGTGTAATATTGAGATTGTTGAACTTAAAGCTGAAGTAGCAAAATTAAGGTGTGATATTGATGAACTTAAAAAAGCATCAGAATCTAAGAAAAATTGCAAATTCCAGACTAGATGCATTCAGATAGCTAAAGAAATTCTTAATGAGGAGCCTATGATCAAATATCGTCTCTCCTTCTTGAATGGATTATAGCTTGATGCCTTCTTTCAAAATATAAATCACATTGGAGATGCAAGGGGCCCAGAATCGATTTCATAGCACTAGTTGGTATAAAGATCTCAAAAATCTCGAGGACATCATTAATCATGATTGGCGAAAATGAATTATTTGTCAAGATAATGGAATTTTCCTACTTGACGATGAAAACCCAGAAATTGTTATCCCCAAAAGAATACAAAAAATTAAGAGTTTCATATGCTAAATATGATTTTTTTTTAGTAAAATAAATCCAGATTTAACTTTTAACCCATAAAAACGTTTTTTTTAGATTTCCCCCCTTCTATTGACAAGCTATCTTAAAAGTAAACCATCACGTTTTTATAATGCTATCGGAATTTAATATGTAATATACATAGGAATAAAACAGAGATGTCAATGTCTAGGTGCAAAAACATTCTCATTCCATAAGACTGATATAGAAATTTATATTTTTTTTCGAAACATAACTCAGACGCCAACGTCCCACCACGTAAATATACCGTATAGAAAAAAAAAATCTTAAATTGTTCCAATCTTGTTCTTTAGATTCTGTTAGACATAAAAATGCGCAATCAATTAAACTGTTGTATATCATACCGAGCATTCAATATATGTTTGAAATATTTACCATGTCAAAAGCGGATATTCATCAAAGAAATAAACTTTTGAATTTTCGCACTTTCATCTTTTAGGTAACTAAAGTTCGGCAAATATTTATAATGCCTCGTTTTTATCTACCGCAAAGTCGCACAATTTGATTTAAATGTTCTTTATTTTCTGACTCAAGTTTATTTACTATGTTTAGAGCGAAATCAATTAACTCTCCGAGTTCTTCATCGGTTATATGTCTCTTTCTCTCTTGTAATTCATCCTCATTATTTTCGTGTTTTCTCTTCATTAGTAAAGCATATTGTTCCGCGAGTTCAGAACTCAGATTCCGTTTTATCATCAACAATGACTCAAATGCATCTTCGTCACCTATTATATTTCAATAGATAACACATAAATACTTAAAATACTGTATAAATGATATCTATTATAAAACTTACCAAGAAAATCAACTAATTCTAATGCCAAGGTTGAAAGCCTTTGCAATTTTTCATCGTTTCATTTTCTTTCTGATTTTGTTATTCCGTGCGCATGGTGGTTCATTCAATTTAAAATATTGAAGAACATCTAACGGTTTTAATCTATACTCGTCATAAGGAATGAGGAATAATAAACAAAGAAATATGTTTTGTAATGAAGTTTAATAGACACAATATATCTCAGTGATGGCAAATTACAAGGTCATTTACTTTTTTTTAAAATGACCTTGGTCATTTTGACTTGAAATTTATAATAAAAGTGAGGTCATTTGAGGTCATTTGAGGTCATTTCAAGGTCATTTGCCAACACTGATATATCTGAATCCGTGTCGGAAGGAATGTAGTCACGATTCTTTACAACAAATCTAAAAAGCGCTTTCTCGACATTTTCTAATATTGGTTTCACATATGAATCTTGTTTGGATGCCGAGAATGAAAACTTATGCGGAATTCGTGATGATAAGTTGTCCTCCTTTTCTTTTTTTACTTTCTGCACATTTAGTGAATTTATTTGTAGAAACTTCATGTTGTTCACTTGCGATATGGTTTGAATTTTGCGTTTGTATCCATAAGAGATATTGTACTGAACAACACGAGATTTTTTGAACATAGCTTGGTGTTCTTTATCAACAATCTTTAAATTTTTTACTTTCTCAGAATTATTAACGTTAAACTACGCATTTAGATATTCGTAGTCTTTACGTACGGTTTCATCAAAGCTCGTAATGAAGACATCAAGGCCTGTCTTTTATTTTTTTCACGGGAGGTTTTAGCTTAAGCAGATGTTCGATAGTTGATTCTAACGTTTCTTCTTGAGATTTCCTTTGAGCCACTTTGATAATTTAGTCATTGTAAAAAATATTGCGCGTATTCTTGGCACGTAATTACAAGATCTCAGGAAGAAATCTGATTGGGGATTGAAAATGGGTTAGATCATTTCTATTATTTCTAGAGTCTCCTATTTTTCTTACCATTTAAGGGTTAAGAATTTTTATCTCATTTTTTGGGCTCTTTAGTACTTTGGAATAATGCAATTTTTCCCTTCCGCGAAGCCGAGAAACACTCTTTGTGTTTTGGTAGGTGGGTAAAACTGAGTAACGCCTCTAGCGTTTGGTCGGTGTTGAGAAGCCGAGAAACATTTCTATGTTTCGGTAGGTGGATCGGGGGAAACCAAAAAAATAAAAAATATGCGTAACGCAGTGGTTTACTGGTGGAAACCGAAAAAATATGCTGCATATTTCGTAGGTGGAAAAAGACGAAATCGAAGCCGAAAAAAACGCTGTTTTCGTAGGGTGAGATAGTAGTATGGGAACTTACATTAACCAAACTATTTTTTGACCTGACAAATACATTCATTCTCATCAAGATAAAGGTTATTGATAAAACAGTATTAAGAGGAACTCGAAAAGGGGTATTTATTGTTTCAAACAAAATATAAGATACTGTAAATAAAAGAGTCTCGCGGCGCAGAAATGTTGAAGTATACTTTATTTTTCATTTTTCCGAATTTAATCCTTTCTTCCTAAAATATTCACATTAAAAACATTATGATTTATTCACCATTGTATTTTATCTTCATAGAAGGTAATTTTTTATAAATGAACAAATTTGAAATGATTCTACATTGTTTTTTTATTTCGCTTCTGTTGGAAACGATTCTCCCAGCCTACAAAAATACTAAAATTTAAGATTATTTATTAGTATTAATGAATTAGTTAAGGTTACATTCAAAGCGATATATTCACAAACTTATTTTATGCGCATTATAAAGCAATTTATGATATAATGTGACCTTGGATTTTTATTATTTAAAAAATTTGACGAAATAAATTTATACATAGTAATAAATACATCATGAACTTGCAAAAATTTAGAAATTAAAAAAAAAACATGAGAAATTTCTTTCCAAATAAAACCAAATATATCAAAATAGAAACTATCAACTATTTATTGTACATCGGGATTATCGATTGGCATATAAATATAATCTTTAATGAAGGCAGAATCTAAATAAAACAAAAAGTACAGAATTTAAATAAGAAATTATCAAAAGAATACTCTGCATATTTTTCCAAACGAAATGAAAGGTTATAACTTACCGTCCAGAATAAATACAAATATAATTTGTTATTGATTGTCTTGAACCTAAAAAATTAAAGCCCCAAGCATTACTACAGCCGAAACCATATGTAAGCCTTTACTGCCTGGCAGTGACCAAATGCAAA